CCAGTGTCGCCAGTGTCACCAGTGTCACTAGTGTCGCCAGTGACGCCAGGGTCACCAGTGTCACCAGTATCGCCAATGTCGCCAGTGTCGCCAGTGTCACCAGTGTCGCCAGTGTCGCCAGTGTCACCAGTGTCATTAGTGTCGCCAGTGACGCCAGGGTCACCAGTGTCGCCAGTGTCACCAGTATCGCCAATGTCGCCAGTGTCGCCAGTGTCACCAGTGTCGCCAGTGTCGCCAGTGTCACCAGTATCGCCAGTGTCGCCAGTGTCACCAGTGTCACCAGTGTCACCAGTGTCGCCAGTGCCACATGAAGCGCCTGTTCGAGGCACGTAATAAAAGCGGCAATACTGCAGCACTGATGAATATTTGCAATACTGTTGCAACCTCCCAACTGATAACATTTTGCTAGAAATTCACACCGAACGTGATACTTTAATAATTCGCGCAACACTGCGGTTGTGATTGCATCTCGAGCAAGCCCGAAATACCCATCGACTTTTCACAACGCCCCCACCTACACTTTACAAGGGACGACGAATACTCATTCCAAGGCGCATCTATACAAGGTGGTGTTATTTGAACAGCTGATTGGATATTTTTGTCTCTACACTAGTACAGGAGAATGTCATCCAAGACGAAATGGCGTAACTTTAGGATGTCAACAAAACGAAATGGCGAAAATTATCTATTTTCTTTCGTCTTGACGTCCTGATGTACAAAAAAGCAATAACAAAATACACGGGATTTTTACTTATATGCAATTGCCACCACCTTGTATGGATGCGCCTTGACTCATTCCAATCTTCTTTTAATGTCTCAGTAAGGCATGCTTGGCAGCGCATGAGAGTTGTCACATAAGGATTCTGTTAAATGAGCTTTGCGTATAAGCGGTTACCCAGCGTTACATACGTGCAGTGCAAAGTATGCATAACTGAGCTATAAGCCTAACCAGAACTAAGAACCAAAACGAATCGTCGAGTAAGGACTATTGTTTTCCTAAATA